GCACCCACACAGTCCAGCACTCCGTGTGTCAGAGCAAAGCACCGGCACTTTGCTCTGACTCGTTACTACATGCCAGAACACAGCAAAGAGAGGAGGGAAGCTCACGGTACTTTAGTGACATCACCCACGCAGTCTGGCGTGTAGTAATGAGTCAGAGCAAAGCACCAGGCACTTTGCTCTGACACACTGAGTGCTGGACCGCACGGGTGATGTTACTAAAGACTGCAAACAGAGGAAGCATGGTTTAAGTGCCATCAATCGGAGTAGGATGTGGGAAGCATGTGGTTGCAGCCCGGTTACAGCCCTGGCCCTGCCGCTTGAGGTGAGAAGCCGCAGGGATTATACAGGGGCTTATACATCAGCGTATAACACGCAGCTAGGATTTCAGCCCCAAATTTTAGGGGGGAAATTGTGTGTTATACGCCGATAACTACAGTATTTTATGGAAAAGTGCCTGGTTATTTCAGGGACTTCCTATCTCCCATAGTATCTGCCTGGTCAATTTGATCTGGTTGGTGTGTTCCAGGTTCCTTCAATTAAACAATTCTATCTATTGGGACCATGAAAACATGACTTCTCTGTAGTAGCACATGCCCTTGGAATGAGGTTCCCCCAGATTCAGACAGCCTCCACCTTGATGATGTTTCTAAGGGACTTGAAGACCTGGCTCTTTGCACAGGCCTTTGATGAGGGTAAGTGAACCCTGTTAGATTGTGTGAATTCATTTCTTTTTGGTTTCTGTCTGGTTTTTGTCATCTTTACCATCTTTTATGATCAGATCAAACAAAGAATGTACTATGAGAGCTGGCAAGTAAGCAGGTATCTTTAAGGAAATTGAGCAAAGAATTAAACTCAGTGGATGAGATGTCAGTCAGAAGCAAAAGACACAGATGATATTCTGCACTGGTGGAACTCAGAAAAACTATCAGGCCTTTACAGAAGAAACATCTCCTGAGCCTTTGGGGAAGAAAGACATTGTAAAACAGGTGACAGGACAGTGGCTTCCTAAACAGTAGAAGGAGCATAGCTGCAACTTGCAAGAATATAGAGCGATAAATCATTGTATTTTGCAATTCACTAGTATAAGGAACTGAAGATGCCTTGGCTTGGGTAGTGTGTTGTCTGCTAGGAACAAATGGCAGGGATGTGATAGAACAGCTTCCAATATTTATGAAGTGCAATATAATTATCCCATTTTGCTAATTCACGTAGGGGCAAATGACACTGTGGAGAACACTTACAACCATATCACCATTGAAGATCTAGGAAGGAAATTGAAGACCATGGGGATTAATGTGAAGTTCTAATTCGTCCCTCCAGTCCATGGAATAGGACTGGAAAAGAAAAGAATACTTCAAGTGAATGACTGGCAATGCAAATGCTGTTTTGAAGTGATTTAGGTTTTGGATTACAGTTTTAGTTCTCTAGATGTCAGACTGCTAGGACAAGATGGGTTGTGTGGAATCAAAACACAGGACTCTAATGCAAAATAATCAAGGTTTCGCTGCAGTGTTTATTAGACAGTATGTACTAGAGGGGGAACCCACCAAGGGATAGTGAAAGATACTCCCTGCAGGCAAAAGGGATGCTCTGATATTTATACATTTCGGGAAAGGGGAAGGGAAAAGATGCATACATACATATTCATATGATGATGCAGGCATATATAAGTAAGTAATAGATCTCATGTTACTTATTCCCCTTCCGCTCATCTACTATCTACAAGGAAAACAATAGCCTTATTGAGAAAAAGAAACAAATCAGTTCAAGGTGCCAAATGCCAGGAAGAACACATCTTTCTTCAAGACTACCTTGTAGCCTTGGTAGTTCACACCAGCTCCAAGGGTGCTGCACATTCTTTTATGTTTCAATTTTATTAAGGCGCTCCCATTCATCTGAAGCTTCTAGAAATTTACTTTCTTTACCCAAAAAATATATTTTCCTCACAGTTGAATCTCGAAGGACTGGTAAATGTGTTCTTGGTCAAAGAATGTTGGGTTTTATTACAGCAAGACACTTTAAACTGAATCCCATGGGAGCTGTAGAAGAAAACTTGAAGTAAGGGACTTAGATAAAGAAAAAAAGAGTGCTGCTGAAACAGAACCTATTCATTGTTTTTAATGATGACTTTTTAAATGATTTTTTTAAATGATATAAAATAGTACTGTAAATGATACCCAAGATCTGCTCAGACAAATTCTGCCATATAGTGCTTCCAGAACATTCTTCATTTTCTTGCTGACGATTTTGTCCTTCAGAGGGTAGAGAAAGGCACAAAAGGATCAGCTACCCTTGACTTAATACTAGCTGATAGGGAACACCTAGTTGAAGAAGTAGAAGTAGCAGAAATACGGAAGAGAATTATCATTTAACGCTTTAAGTTCTTAATGTTAAAGGAAAACAAAGCTGATCAAAAAAGTAGATTTTCATAACTCAGAACAAAGGTAAGTAGGATTTCACAGCAGGAGAAGCAAATGGGAATTCAAGATGGGTTTGAAAACAGGGATATACTAAAACAACGATTGCAAACAATTCTAATAAAAAAAATGGAGGACTGAAGAAAAAAACAATACAACTGTAAATAAAAAGCTTAATAAAGATATAAAAACAGAAAAAGGCACATAAAGGAAATAGGAAAAGTGACAGAACCCAAGGAGGGTCCATATGGGGTAGCCTGGAACTGAAAAAAATGGTGTCAGGGAATCTAAAACTCTCAATGAGCTGAGGTCTTGTTGTATTTGCAAAAGATTGCAAATACAACAAGAAGTCTTATTTAGATATGTTTGAAATAAAAGGAAAAGAAAAACATGTAGAAAAAGAACCTCTCCATGCATCCATATGAAGGCAATTGAGCAGAGGCTTGAAATATTGCCAGCTGTGATGGAATTGGTTGGTGAAGGCCGCGCTCGGGGAGATAAGCATTTGCTTAGCCCCCAGAAAGAGTGTGGGAAGGTGAAGAGGATGAGACTGGCACTACCCTAAGGAATTTGCAGTGTTTGCTTGTTGGCTTGGGAATTTTGGATACAGTGTGACAAGATTCTGTCTTATAGGTGAAAGCTAATAAAGGCTATAGAACTAAATCTGTACTGTCTCGTGGAGTTCCTTGGGCTGAACCTGACATCAACTGCTCCATTCTACCTCTTGTCTTCCCTCCTGATCACATCATCCAAGTAGAGCATATGCAGTCTGCCTTGTGCTTCTCAATACACATACATACCCACAAACATACAGGGAAGTAACACAAAGGGACATCACTAACAGACACACACTGATGCAATATGTTACTTCATTACACAGTAGAAAATGCAGACACCTCCTACAACCATTGCTGGTAAAGGGTTTGGAAATAATTCTGGAAGCCAAGCTCTGCCTGCTTTCCATATCTTCTTTGGCACAATCCTCTAACAAGAAGATATGTGTTCCACCATACTTTGAAGACAGAATTGAAGCTTGAGAGTGACAGAAACAGAATCAATGAATATCTGTTTAAAAGAGTTTATCCAGAGCCAAATGAATTGCAACTTAGGTTATTAAAAATGGTCTTGAGATGGGACGAAGACAAAATGAAGAGAAATCAAATCCTACAACAATATTTGAATGAACTAAGGATTAAGACTGTTAAAAGCAAAAGGAAGGAATATAAAGTTGGTTTATTTGATCAAGGTTAAAATAAGATATATTGTTATAGTACTTCTGACTACCCTTTTTGGACTTTCTGCTCATACCAGAACTGAAAAGATGATGTTTTATGGATTTGTTTATAGACAAAAGATGGGATATGGGATAAAGGGATAATGTGTGTAACTTTAGAGAGAGTGAAGAGTTACTAAAGTTGTTTATACTTGTAATTAAGGTTGGAAGTCACTTGTTTATATATTATTTTCTCTTTATTATATTCTTTCTTTTCTCTTGCTTAACTTTCTTTCTTTTTCTTTCTTCCTTTCTGTACTTTTTACTCCTCTATTTTCTTTAAGTTTAGTTTTAGTAGTATTAGGTTTTACTATTATAATCAAACACACACAAACACACACACACACACAGAGTACTGTGCAAAAGTTTTAGGCAGGTGTAAAAAAATGCTGTAAAATAAGAATGCTCTCAAAAATATATATTGTAATTTTTTATGTTTATCAATTTACAAAATGCAAAGTGAGCGAACAGAAATCCAAATCAAATCAATATTTGGTGTGACTACCCTTTGCCTTCAAAACAGCATCAAT